TGGACTGAGGCAAGGTCAGCTCTGAGAACAGGCAATTTTATTTCTGGACTACAAGTTCAGGGTTTGTGGTCATTTGCAGGGTTCAGGGAGGTGGGCAGGGCAGCGCAAGCCTTTGGCCCTGGGGTTGGGGGCATTGCCTGAGGAGGAAATGGTTAGCACATGCTGCCCTGGATCCTGCTTGTTCTGATGTTTAAACCTCACTTTCTTTTATAACCTGCAGCATCTCCTGCAGCAGAGTGAAGAACTCCGTCAGCTTTTTGCGTGAAAATGGGCAGGAGACAGGTCTGTGTGTTTGTGTAGGTACTGGCTTATGGTATGGGGCTGTGGTCATCGGTGGTGCAGTCGTCTGTGATTGGTACAGTCCTATTTGGAACAGGATCCATTGGTGGAAGTCCTTAGTGGAGGTGTAGATCCCAGGTTGGTGTGCTCTTGCGCAGCCAGCTCCCCAGCTGGTGACACCAACAAGCCAGTAGAAGTCGCGAGTTCGATCTTTGCATACGAGGGGGCCGCCGCTGTCACCCTGCAGTGCAGGAGAGAAGCGTGAGCTGTTGCTTTTTGACTAATGTCAGCTCTTCAGTGCTGGCACTAAAGTGTCATCACTGCTTCTCTACAAGAGTGCGTTGCAGAGGTGTCTGCACTGCCAAGTGGCATACTGCAGCTGCTGGGGCCCACAGAAGCTTGTTGATGAGGGGACTATGGGTCTGTGAGGGAGGATTCTCTCTGGTGTTTCTGGGTGATTCTGGGTTTGTGAACAGGGATGTTCCAGCCAGGGATCTGAACCTATGTCCCAGGCAACCTGGATTAAGGGGACCATCTCATGCTGGACCTGCAGAGGAGAAGGGATGGTGAGCTCTGTCACATTTGGGACCCAGAGATGGTTGGGTAGCTGTCCAGGCAGAGCACAGGCTGCATGTGTATGGGGGTTGTGGCAGAATTGTCCCCACTGCTTTTGCCCCTTCTTACCTGGCAAGAGTCGATGCCACCTTGCTGATAACCAGCACACAAGTTGGTGTCGAAGATCATCCCTCCATACCATTCGCTGCTGTTGCAAAGGTGCTTGTCAATGAGGTGGACAAGGGCCTCCTGCAGGATTTCAGGTCGTGTCAATGCTGTGGACATAAAAAGGAATTGGCATCTGGCAGCTCGTTGCCGTTTCTGCATCCCTGTGTGGCTGAACACCTTCCCCAAGTCCTGGCTTTGGGTCTTGAGGGGCTTCCCTTCTATCTTGCTTTGGGTAATGGGCTAAGGCCATCTCTCTACAAGTGTACGTCCCATTGGCTTCTCCTGGTAGCCCAGTCCCACCTCGACAGCATGCTGTGCCTGCCCTTGGGGAACACCAGCACTTGTTGGGAACTCACCTCCTTCGTACATGGCACCCCAACCACCGACGTAGCAAGGTGACAGCCCTG